AAATTAAATTTATTTGATCGTTATAAACTTCTAATGCACAGATTTGACTTCGGTAATTTTTTTAATGTAGTTTCTAATGTCATAGGAAACGGTCTTTCCCGAAATGTTTGTGGCCCGTTTACGTTATCGTTTTTTTTATTAATATATTTGATTATGTATGCGGGAGAGTAGGTTCATAGCAGCTTTTATGACAAACATTGATGAAATTACAAGTCTCACTGGAGTCCTACTGTACTTCTCACATTTATATATGCGGCATACTTGAAGGCAATACTCAGACTAATAGCAGGATGGAAAACCTTTCCGTAATCCTGCCATTTTTCAAAACTTTTGAACTAATGCGCGCAAATATTAGTCACTCTAGGTTTAAATTAGTTTCCATGTGTCTGTTAACTGGTTTACTGCTTAAATTTTTACTAAATTGCTCATGTAAAATTCGCACTATATTCAATTTGTTTTTTGATACTGATCAAACGATTAATCTCATAAAAATAATTTTAATTATAATCTGCATTTATTTATTTATTTCCCCTTGTTGCACAACAAAACAAATNTAGGCTTTCGTGCCAATAAAATAACACCAACACCTCATTCTTATTTTATTTGCATAACAATATTTATAAAAGCGACTACAACTTGTTGATTTATGTATTTTATGCTGTTTCTTGTAGTTCTATTCTATGGAAGGAGGGTTTTTCTTGCCCACAGAAGAACTACTGCTTCTCCGCATAACTTTTTGTAATAAATAAAACAAAACATGATATATTTCCTAACGATTCAATCAAAAATATTGCCGTTTTTGATTGAGTCAGAGCAAAGAAACAATTTACTGAAAATAATCATTTTCCCATCTCTAATAGTACCTAAAAGATCTGTTGTTAATCCATAACTAACAACAGACAAACATCTATTGTTTCAAATAGATATGGAATAAATTAAAGATAGCTCTGAGACTTATAGAAGTTAGCAGAAGCTTACATGCAAAAAGAAGGTGACTAGAATCAGGTTAACAATTACATAAAATAGGTTACTTCTTAGAGTTCACAGGTAAAAACGGGCCAATCTTTTTCTTTTATCATCGTATAACGAAAATAATAACAATGAACACGTTCCCTGTATGACTTGACAAGTAAACATCTATTATGCAGAGACCAACGAGTCATGAATGTTCTTGATCCGTCCTTGATGGTGACTATTTCAATTACGGATTCATGAATTCTCCCAACGAAAAAAGATAAATTAATACAAGATGTAGAAAATAATAGCAATCTTCCACACGATGATAGTTTAATAATCGAAAATAATAAATATGTTGTTAATATTTGAGCAGTTTAAAGGGACGGTAACTGTTCTGAATAAATGATTAGTAGGTCTAATTATATCTTTATAAAACATATAATTTTTCATCATATAGGATTATTTTAATATTTATAATTTAGTAGATTGTAAAGTACTGTATTATTGATTTTTTTTTTGTGTGTGTTATTTCTAGGAAGTAGGCTATATCATGGTGATACGTTTATTTTCATTGTAAATATCTTACTACACTACAGGCCTATGAAATAATTTCATAATTTTCCTTGAAAATTAAATAGACTTATTTTAAATTATATATAATTCAAATGTATGTTAATATAATTACCCTCGTGACTCCATAAAGTAAAAGTTAATCGTTAAAAATTACAGAAGCGATGCCATATTTCTTCACCAGTTTATTGAATCGGAAATATACTGAACGGTTGAATGGAAAGAAAATCTTTAAAAAAATCATTAATAAACATATAAATTGAATATGATTCCATTTATATAATTTTTTTCTACGTCTCGGATGACACATTTTATTGACATTGTTCATGTTTATTTATTTACTTTATTCTTCTTCCGATTATTTTTTGTAAGAGGATTCTGTTCTAACAGATATTGCAACAAATCTTTTATTTTTAAACATTTTACTTACGTCATAATCAATGTATTTTTTTTTTGTGTGTTATTATATTTAAAGATAATTGTATTAATTTGAAATCATTAAAGCAAAAATTTCGTAATTATTCGTAAAAAAAATAATAATAAATTAATTTTTATAAAGAAAAAATGATTAAATTATGGTTAATTCTTTAATAATAAAAGTATTTTTAAAAAAAGGGGGTCGTTAGTTATTTTTATATTTGTTGAATGTAATCGGTTAGCCTTGATCGAAACGGAATTCCAACTGAACTAATGAAAATTCGCTAGTCAAGGACATTCGAGGAATAAATCCTTTCTTTATATACAAAGAAAGTAAACAAAAGAATTCGGCATTCGCCTTGCGTTAAGCACGAAACTATTTTTACATTAAGCAAATTAATTGCAAATGAACTAGACGGACAAACACGTCAAGTGTCTTTTAATTAATTAAATAATACACAACGGGCCAATTTAGTCGTGGAAAGTTACAATCGTCATCAAAAGATGGCGCAATGGATTAAATTAATTACGCATTAAAGTAAATTAATTGACTTTTTTGTCGCGTAATAATTGGCTTTGTTTACTAGAAAACGAAATTCGAATCGATCCATTTCATCGATTTTTTAAATTTTTAAATGTTTACAACGTACACTTCCGACCAATGAACGAAAGGTACACGAGCGAGAGGCGTGAATCAACCTTTGGCCTCGATAACGTGCGTCCCTCTAGCGGGCAGGTAGAGAAATATTTTTTAGTTGTGATCATGTAGTATTAGAAATTAGGCAGATAAAGAAAGGATCTCGAGCGAAGTATATGAAATGTTTACGGTGTAATTTATCGGAAATGCGTTGGAATTACGGATGGCACGTGTTTTTGTGTCTGTTTACGGCGGCGGCGAGTCAAAGGTGGTGGGACAGGGAACCGACCCGCCAACCCAATTATTACCACTACGACGATCAATATAGAAACTGGAATTCTCGTAACAGACCTTACGAAACGAGGGTTCGATATTATAGTGATGAGTATTATCCGTATAAAGAAATGCAGGACAGTAGATGCGGAGAAGAGACACGCGAACCCGTTGTCCGTACCGTGGAAACTGGACAAGGCGTGGTCGAAGGACGAGTTGTGTTCTTGTGCGACGGGCCCGACATCAGTTATCGAGATCGACCTCAACCTGGAAGTAATCCGCAATTCGGTTCCAAATTTCATAAAAATGTCACTGTCTTTTTGGGTATTCCCTACGCTAAACCACCCGTCCAAGAGCTGAGGTTCGAAGTGAGTACAACACTTGTTTAAATTATCCGTTTAAATTAATTTACACGCTTTTCGTAATTCGAAACAAAATTCCAATCGTCAGCATGTAATTTTGCTTTATCACTCGTACAATCAAAAAATTCCGAGAATAATTGATCGGAAAAAATAAATGGCTTAAAATACGCACAGTCAGTTGTCTCATCGAATTTTTAAGATTTAAAACGAGTATCGAGAGCGGAAAAGGGTGTTAGAAATTATTTATATACGTTAAAACCGGAGTTAGGCGATGCGGATCCTTAAAATCCAGACCCGCCCCTAACTTCGGTTTAATGCCCTTCCTTTAAAAATTTTCCTATTTGCGAATTTCGTTGGCTAGAATACATAAAATCCATCGGACTTCCGCCAGATGTATTTTCCTAAACTTCCGCTTAAAGAAAACTATTGTGTCGTTTTAACCCGTACAAATATCGTTTTGTTTACGGTTATGAAAGAAATAACGAACCGAACAGAACCATACACCATATCGTTCTCATACAATTAAACTCCAGCTCTATACATTGGTGTTGTATTAATCTTTTGTTATACGATTGCTACTCGGATTATTTTCCAGTTCGTCTACATTGTGAAATAACTATGACACCACTTATTTGTTCTCTTAATCTATAACCTCTTCAAATTATATGTATTCATTGATATCGTTACAGATAAACTAAACTTTTGATCGTATTTCGTGTTCTAAAGATCATTTGTTTCTCCAATTTGAATACGGAAACAATTCCAATTACTCGGATAACGTGTAACAGAATCGCGACTGAATGCAAAGATAATTTAAAATGTCTTTCTTAAAAATTAATTAAAATAAAAGCAGAAATTATTAGACCCGGATCATTCGCACTCTTACAGACTTTCTACTTTTATGTAGACCAATAACCTATTTTATCACTCAATTTATAAATTATGCCAGTACATAATGGTGGTTAATTAGAATTCGCTTCAATTGACAAAATAAACCAATGATTTTTAAAATTTTAAAAGACTTTAAATAAACATCCGATTTTAAATCCGAAAAATGTCGTCCGTGTTAGTTTTCTCCCGTCATTAAACTTCCTTTCCAGTTTTCATAAAAGGTTATTAACGCCGATGGGCCTCATGACATTATTTCGTTCGAAAAGACTCGACTTAAAACTTTATTCTTATAATAATTACGAAATTTTATATTTAGTATTTTTTTAAAATAATTATTTTTAATGTATTGTTTTTTTTGTAAAGTTTATCATCGATATCTCCCCTACAAAAAATTATCCATTTATTATTTCAATAAGTAAATGCTTTTAAATTGTGGTATTAACTAAAATCTGTTTTAAAAAATTGCGTGATGGTTTAAAAGAGCGACTAAATTTTTTATATAGTTTACGATCAATTTATAGTTTAATGTATTTCGTTCTGCCACATTATCTTTGCAAAAAAAAAAAAGTCTCTAAAAACAGACTTTTCCCGAGATAATCAGAATGGCTCGGCCCGTTTTTGACCTTTGTATCTTGTTATCGTACTATCGAACCGGTTTCCTATCGTTTTCTCACATTTCCATCCATTTCATCTTGACTCTGGTTAGCCTGTCAAAAAATAACAAGCGTTATTTCTCCAATTTGATTTTAAAAATACAATGCATTCACCTCGTAGAGACCAAATATTACTTACGCAGTAATACGCATAATTAGTAGTATTTGCATTTTATGTGCCTCGTCGTTTATTGTTATAGTTCTCTACATTTAATATGGCTGCTTGTAGTAATAACTCTAATAAATATTTTTAAAAAGAAAATCATGCGTGACGGTTATTAGCGTGCAGAAAACGAACGAGTAACGCCGAATATAACTCACGTTTACTGTATTACCCGCAGCATTAATGATTAGCTATTGTCCTAGATTCATATTAAATTGTATTATGATGGTATATATACGTTAGTGTCGCTTGTGGATTTATTTATCTGATTCCTAAAAAGTGTTAAGAATTCTAATTTAAATCGAATTTGATCCGTGATCGGAATACAAAACATTAAATATGAACTAATCCTTATTAATCGAATTTTAAATTCGATTAATAAAGATTAGTTCCATACAGAACGGGCATTACGGGAAATACCATTTAAATATTTAAATCGATAGAGTTAATCGGGAATGGGCACAGAAGGCACGAGCCCCCCCCCACTTACCATTGTAAATAAATAAAAAAAATTAAAAAATACAGGAGAAAGATTTGAATATAACAAATGCACTTAAACACCTGTTATATACTATATGTATTTTTGGTTTTAATTACACTGTTGTTGGGGTTTTTGTTAAATGGAGACTGATATCATTTGCTGTCTGGCAATTTCTAATTGTGTATAAAATAAATAAATAAAACTAACAGTACTTCACATTTGTGTGGATCTATCCCACACAATAATTAAACACCCATATAAGATCATTTAAATATGTATTGCTTAAATTATTTTTTGATAAAATATTTAACTGGTATTTATACATTGTTGTAAATAATATCTTTTACATGTAGAAAAGTTTAGCAATTATTAAATACTCAATATGTTTAAAATGTTTTTAGCATCCAAAACACCCAGATCCTTGGGGTAATTTGAAAACTTTAAGGTACAAGCCACCTTGTCCGCAACCTGAGGATATTGAACTTACTAAAGTTGTAGGAGAACCTGATGAAGATTGTCTATATTTAAATGTTTTTTCCCCATTTGTAAGTATTTTTCCACATAATATTTATCTATATAAAGTCACACAGAACATTTTGAAAATTATAAAAAAATATGTAATAGTTCTTACAATAAATATGAACAATTTATATTGTGATTATAATAATAAATTTTGATAAATTATATTTTTTTGCTTTTAATACTTAAAATATTTATTTTAAAACTTATGATATAATATAAAAATAGTGATAAAAAGTTATTGATTTTATGGTAATTTTGTATTTTTTTCCTACTTTGATCTAATTTTATAATTAAGTAATTTAATGATTTCAGGTTTTTCATTTATAAATAGGTCCATTAGAAAAATTTAAAATTTTACTTTGAGATAGTCATTTAGTATTTTTCTGAATCATCCAAGGCAAATTTTAGATTATAATCATGAAATATCCAGCAGACATTTCAATATATAATGTGTTTTTGTGGGGAGAAGAATCATCTATATCTTGCAGCTATTTTATCATCATTATTATCATAATATTTGAAATAAAAGTTCAAAATGTGATATAGAAAACAATTTAGTTATTTAATAAAAAATAATATCCAACAAAAAAATAATTTTATTATAAGAAAAAACTATCTATTTTCAAGATATTCATTTCTCTTCTAAAAATCATATTTTTTGTTTTTACAGTGTCTTCCAAAATGAATGCTACCTTTTTAAATTACTGTAAATTATTATCTGAGAAGTATATGACATATGCAAATCAATAGATTAATTGTCTGAAGATTAATTTCCTATCTGCATTCAATCATATTGTTGTCTACTACCTCTAGGAAGCACTATAAATAAAAATGGTGACTCCACAATAGAGAAGACATTTTGTGTTCTGCAGTTCACAAAGTTGGAATCACTCATCATTCTTCATTATGCAACATGAGTAATCTACAGGAGCTGTAGAATTGTGGCTGCTGTGGGAAGAGTAAGAATGGATATGCTGTAGCAAGTGTCGAGTATCGGTTGGATGTGACACGAGATGCACACGTTGAGAAATTGCAATGGAAAAATGTGAAACTTTGACAGTTTTTCAATGTTTTAATATAAGTTACAACATCCTCAGATAATAAGAAACATATTTACAATAATTTAAAATGATAGCATTCTTTTTGGAAGATCTTGTATGAGTTCATATAAGTGTTGTAGCTAATTATTGTTGTCATCATAGTGCTCTACCTAATACAGTAAACTTTTTTACCAGCAAGCATTGTTGTTTAGGGAATCTTTTGAGTCATTCTTTTAAGTACTTAATATAATGTTATTAGTTCATTTGAAGTATTTTTCTTCTTTCATTATGTTTTTCTTTTGTTAGTTTTATTCTTCTAGAATATGCTTTACAATGTAATCATTTCTCATTTCATGTGCAAATTTTTAACCCTTTATCATGTGAAAAATGAATGCCTGAAAATGATTCATATTAACATTTTGATTTCTTGGTGTAACTAATATAATATGTTTTTAATATTACTTTCCTTCTCTTTTTGTCAAATTTTAACTACTTGTTTTTATTCACTGTTTTAATACGAGGCGTGTTTTTAAAGTAAGTACCGTTTTGAAATATAAAAAAAACAAGCAAACATTTTTAAAAAAATTTTTATTTATGTGAAAGCCCATATTTTACACTACTTTTCTACATAATTCCCATTAATATTGAGACACTTATCGTATCGTGGGACCAGCTTTTGTATTCCATCCTCAAAGAATGTTGCCGCCTGAAGAGACAACCACTGCAGAATGGTCGTTTTGACTTCATCGTGATTGTTATGGCGCTGCCCTGCCAGATGCTTCTTCAAATGCGGAAACAAATGATAGTCACTCGGCGCTAGGTCGGGACTGTATGGAGGGTGGTCTAATTGTTCTCAGCCAAATGATGTGATTAGGTCTTGAGTTTGATTTGCCGTATGTGGACGAGCATTATCATGGAGCATTATCGTGAGGCAAAAAATCAACAAGCAACACTCTGTATCTGTCCCAAAACACCGTGCACATGATTTTTTGAGCAGAAATTGTTTGCTTGAACTTGACTTTCCTTGGAGATGATGAATGCCGCCATTCCATGGATTGTTGCTTTGATTCCGGTGTAACGTAGGCTACCCACGTTTCATTGCCTGTAACAATACGACTTAAAAAATCATCTCCTTCGTCACTGTAGCGCTCAAGAAAAGTTAATGCACTGGCCAAACATTTGGTTTTGTGCTCCTCCGTCAACATTTTCGGCACCCAACGGGAACACAACTTCCGATAATTTAATCGTCCGGTCACAATTTCATAGAGAACACTTCTTGAAACTGCAGGAAACTCTTTAGATAAAGATGAAATCGTGAATCGTCTGTTCTCTTTCACTCTACAGTCCACTTTTTCAATCAAATCGTCGATTATGACTGAAGGTCGCCCACTTCGTTCCTCATCGTGAATGTTTATGCGGCCATTACTAAAGGCCCTAACCCATTTTCGTACCATTCCTTCACTCATAACGCTTTCACCATAAACTTCACTGATTTGGCAATGAATTTCAGCCGCTTTCGAGCCTTTAGCACTGAGAAAACGAATAACGGCACGCACTTCGCAGTCGGTGGGATTCTCAATGAGCGGCGGCATTTCAATAACACACAAAAAACAGTAAACACAGTTGACTGGCTCCGTAATGGTGTTTGTGGCTTCCCAACAGATGTAGGTACACAGCGCGCATGCGCTAAGTGCCGACTGCAGCGCTCCAGCGGCGTTATATTAAAACGGTACTTACTTTAAAAACACGCCTCGTACTTCAAATTGACAAACAGAATAACTAATGATCTCTTAGTTTTTCATATTATTAAATTAATAGTTTGAAATATACAGATTTTGAAAATATAGTAATGGACCAAATATCCAGAAAGCTTGGGATCAGAAATGGTCTAGATTTCTGGATTTTCCTGTTTTCTGGACACAGGCTAAATATATACTGAAAATATAAAATAAATGATGGAAAGTAAAGAAGAAAGTTGTAATTAACATACTATATGCCAGCAGTCATACTGGAAGTGGCATCACACAATGCATATACCACACAAACCAAAACAAAGTGTCTGTGTGATGAACTATAGTTGTACTATAACTCACCAAATTCACAACTAGCCAGTTTCAAAAATAGTTGGTTTTTTTTTGATAATTTTGAAATTTTTAATTATTTGAATTTTACACTATAAAACTTATACAAAATTCATAAAACAGATATTTTTTTTTATTCAATTCAAAAAATATTGTTACTAATTATATCCTTTTTTCCTCTCTTAAAGTCAAACTGTATGGCACTCTCTAACATCCCCATAAAACCTAAAAACACAAATATCTATATTCAAAGCAGAATTTTAATTGTGATCTGTCAAACAGGAACAGTCTTAACAAACTATTTTTATATTGGAAGAGTTTGTTAATTTATAATTTGTAAGGTATCATTTTTAAAATTATAGTATTGTAATTATTGTAAATTTATTAAATATTCTTAAATTCCATTTGATATGAATGTATGTTTGATATTATATTTGATTTTATTTAATTTTCTGAAGGTTGAAAAATTTTACCAGAGAAAATATGCAGTAATGATATATATTCACGGTGGATTTTGGGAAAAAGGTAGCGCCAATACTTTTCCTGCTCACATTTTAGCTGCTTCCCAAGAAGTTGTTGTAGTTACATTTAATTACCGTCTAGGACCATTAGGTAAATATGGGCAAGAATTTGATTAAAATTAAAAAGTACTGAAATACTAAGTTATTTATTTGATATTTTCCTAGGCTTTTTTGCCACAGCAAACAGATCAGCACCTGGAAACTATGGAATACTTGACCAGGCTAAAGTTATAAATTGGGTATATGAAAATATAGATAAATTTAATGGTGATCCCCAGAGGATAACTCTTTTTGGTTCTGGTGCAGGAGCTGCCAGTGCAGGAATTCATATGTTTTCTGAAGTCACTAGTAGTATGTTAACTTAATGGCATTTGAAATTTTATAGTTATTATGCAATATTTATTATACATGTAAAATTTCTTAAACATTTTATATATATAAATATTTTAATGTTTAAAAATTATAAAAGACAAAAACAGTATATATAAGGAGTTTAAAGTGACATTTCACATGGAAAAGTTTCCTCAGGATAGAATGTTTTGATACTAGTTCAGTAAATTTATATTATTTTTACTTGTCTTATCGTAAGAAAAAATGATGGGACTTATAAAATAAGTTTATTATTAATTAAGAAAATATTATAAGTAAACACTTTCCTCTTTAATTAGTGAAAGTAATTATACATTTCAAATTTCATATATAAAAATATACTAACATTTCAAAAATTAAACTAAATAACAACATTAAATTAAAATTAAATTAGACAAAATACATTTATTAATAATTAAACTTTTTCAGGCATATAAATGAACTTGGAAACTAATGCAATGTTAAGCACTAGCAGTAATCATAGTAATCAACTGAAAAATAAGTTTTACAATAAACTAATCATGAATGAAATATTTACAAATTTCATGTAATGCAAAATACCAGTAGTGGCTCATGGACCCAGAAAGTAGTGGAGCCAATTTAAAAAAAGTTTTTTGAATTAATAATAGAAAATCAGAATTTTTATGTAAATAATAAAGCATAAATGTGCCTATCTTTTATGATTTATTTATTTGTTTATACAGATTTATGGGATAAGTCAGGAAGGTTATGAATAATATCACAATGATAAATTCAAAATATATATTTGTAGTAAGCACTGGCATTGATAATTTAGTAAAATGAACAGTAATGAAAACTCAATGTTTGAGAGGCATTTAAAATCAGAACAAATGCAATAAATAATCTGCAATGAGTAAAAATATTACATAAAAATATTTTTATGTATACAGTAAGAATCCGCTTAACGCTGCCTTGCTTAATGCTGATTCGATATAATGCGGTCTGCTCAAAGCCTAAAAAAAGCTAAAAATTTACGCTGATTTAAATTATTATGGAATTTCATTGATTTGTGTATAATACGATTATTTGTGAACATAAACCAATAAGCAATTTTAGGCTGGATGGCCGAGCAGTCAAGGTGGCAGCCTACTGCTCTGAGGGACCCAGGATCAAATCCGGACGGGTTGAATAATCCCCAGAAATTTTTCAGGGGGTGGTCCATTCAGATACGTTGGGTCCCATCCCTCCCCACCCAGTTGCCCCATTGTGGGCCTGGCCGTAGCCATAATGGGCTTGCAAAAAAGAGGCCCTCTTAGTGCCCACAGGACAGAAAGAATTTAAAAAAAAAACCAATAAGCAAAAGGTGGCAGGAAGGTATGGCATAGATTTAAAGAAAGGTGTACTTTCTTTAAATCTATGTTTGTTTGGGGCAATTTTGGAAAAAAAATATAACATCATGGATCCCATAGGAAATATCGACTTCACTTGGCAAGAATTAACTGATAAATGCATGAACGAAGTGTGGAAGAAGTTATGGGTGAAGGTACCCAACAATTCTCAATGAGAAGAGCCTATCATTGTATCGTTAAGTTGACCAAATCAACCTAATTAATATAGCAGGACTAGGAGATATAGATGAGCAGATATATCAGGATATTGAGGAGTAACAGCAGGTTTCTGGTAAGAGCCTTACCAATGACAACCTTCAAGAACTGGCAGAACATGGAATTCACGAGGAACTGGAAAATAGAGATTCTGAAAACGAAGAACCCAAAATTTTCTCTACAGATTTCCTTAGTAAAAGTTTGGTAAGATAACTGAAATAATTGATCAAATTGTAGCGAATGATTCAGATTTTGAAAGGAGTGCAAAAGCAAAACAAAGCATTTTGGATGAAATCTTCTGCTACCGACATTTGCTTAAGGAAAGAAAAAAACGACAAATGAAACTTCACGACTATTGCAAAAGAACAAGAATTTCTTAAAAGTCAGGACCTTCATCACAAAAAATGAACTTTACATTTCTGTGTGCTATATGTGTTTTGTGTTATTTAACATATTTACTCTATGTTAAAATGACCTCATTTAACACTGTTTCTCTTAGTGCTTTGTTGTCTAGGAACACAACCCCATGTTAAGCGGTATCTTACTGTATTTATAAATAATGAAATAAAATGAAAAAATAAATATAATAATTATAAACTATTGAATCAGTAAAAATTATAACATTAAAGATTTGTAAAATATATAAACAAACATCAGCTAACCTGATAAACATTAAAGCAACCAAAGCCAAATTAACTGCTTCTAGCCTGTTAATTTGGCTTTGGTTGCTTTGTAAAATATGTAGTGATGTGCAAATTCCCACACACAGTTAAGAGTACACTGGGAATAGGACAACAATACTGGCCCCAAGGCTGCATAAACTAATGCATATTCCACTAAATGCAACTAGCAGCAACATTGTGCATTCCTATGTATAATATCTTTTCACATTATATAGAGTGATCAGAATTGACCACACAACGATTCCTTGTTGAAGACCAACCTGAAAGAGTCATTTTGAACACTTATATAACTGGTTACATTATTATATAAGTGTTCAAAATGACTTCCTCTTCATGTGCAACAAGTGGCTGTCTGTCAAATAATTCTCTTTTATATGTTTTGCAGTCTGGCAGGTGTTATGGTTGTGATGGACACATGCATAGCACTTCTAGGTTTTGCCAAGAGTTCACTGGCCATCTGTAAACAAGTGCTTTAAGATTCTCCCATAAGAAGTCTACAGGATTCAGATAGGGTGATTAGCAGGTCATGTGACTGAACCACCACAGGGATGCCTAAGGGAAACTTTGTTTGGTGCTTGTAGAACTAAGCTTCTGAATGACTAGAAATGGTCATAAACGTTTTGACACAAATATCTTTGGATTGCCACATCAATAAAAAAAACAGATAACACTTTTTTGGGTTGGTATTTGACAAGGAATTACATAGTATGATTATTGTGATCAATTCTGATCACCTCATAACTGAGACCTGACTCTAAGTATGGTAGAATGTAATAAATTATTTTTTGTGAAAAATTACTTTGTTCTTAAAACAATAATTTAGATTAGTCTGTTAATAAAGACAGAATTTCTCAGATAAGTTTTAATATTTTTGATGTAGAGAAAGAGTTCAAACAACTGATAAATGTGACTTGATATAAAAAAAAAACTTATGCAGGCTGTGCATACATCAGGAAAACTGCTGGTCATAAAGTATTAGATTTTGCACTTTGATGTTGAAAATTAAAATCTTGGTCTTGTCTTGGTCTCGAATTTGTTTCTGGATCTTGGTCTTGCAAATCAGGATCTTGTTTAACATCACTTCTATCCAACAAATACACTTTTACATATTGAGAACTATATTGGTTAGCACACACAGAGTATGATATAGTATATAAGAATGTATTGGAAAAATACATTTGTAAGTTTTTGTCAGACAGCAGTTAATGGGACAGCTGGATGGCCAAGACAATTAAGCTAAGGCATTAGCCTGTCACTCTGGAAGATCTGGGATTGAATCCAGGTGAACAATTCTCCAGGAATTTTTCATGGATAAACCTGTCCCAGACTGTATGCTGGGCCCTGTCCTTTACCACTTGATTGAGTCTACAATGGGTATGGAAAAAAAGTCTTCTTAGTGTCCACAAGGTAAAAAATAAAAATGTTTTTAATAGAAATAAGAAAAGCCTAGCTAATTCTCATACAACATTTGCAAATGTACATTCTTATAAACTACATCATACTGTGTGTACTAGTTGATATGGCTATCTCAATATATAAAAATTGTTAAGGAGAGTTTGTAAAAAAAAAAAAAAAACTGCTATTATTATCAGTATTAGAGTTCACATTATTATTATGTAAATCTTAATAACATTACGTAATATGTAATATTTTATGTAAATCTTTCATTCACAATATTGGAGAATATGTTCCTCTTTGAGAACAATAACAGATATCATAGTAACCTTCTGTTCCATTACTTTCCAAGTCCATTTGTACACTTCAAGATGTTACACAAAAGTGCTTGAATTTATTAATAATTTTAATTTAATGCTATTTAGTTTTATTTTTGATTTACGCAACAATGTTCGGAGACCACATATTCTCATGCTAACATGTATGAAAAAAGTTTAACATATTCTATTTGAGTTGGAGTGTTTATTTGCAACATTTTTTATAGCTTTACTTAATTTTATTTTAACTAAATATAAAAAATATTTTACAATATACCATACTTACTTGGATATAAGACGATCCTGCATATAGGATGAGGTGTGACTTTAGAGATCAAAATAAAGAAAAGTATATTTATTAATACAATTCCAATTTTATTTCATTTAATCACAAATTATTATCAAATGCATGTATTAAGGTAAACAACCATGTTTGCCTTAATACATGATGAATGGAAGACAAAACCAAAACATTATAGTGTGCATGATCTGGAAAAGTTTATTTTTAATGATTCAGAATGTGCTAATATTCATTAAAAACAACAATTTAACTAATATAAAATAACTATATTTATAATCATTGCTAAGTGACCTATATTTCATTAATGTTTTTATAAATAACGAGAAACTATTTTCTGTGAATGAATGAGATGCAATGCGGTTTTTAATTGATGGATGTAGGATTAAACCAATAAACAAAGGGATGTGTGTCTTAATTTGTTTACAGTAGGAGCAAACTTATGATGAATAGACTGTAGACCTATAATGACAGCTTGAAGTATACACGGTTCTCAGAAATTATTGCAAAAACGCAAAGAATCTTTTGTTTGCATGTAAAGGAGAACCTAGGTTTTTGAAGCAGTGAAAAATGAATAAAACCTTGTCTTATATGCGAGTAAATATGGTATATCCTGTTTTTGAAAAATGATACCTGCCAGTTTTTAATTTAGAAGGTATTGTTTCAAATATGTCATCTTATTTCTGTTAGTAGTCCTTTGTAAATATGATTATAAATTAATGAA